TTACGAAGCCTCAGTTTACCTTGTCCATTAGTTCTTTACAGGATATCGTTCACAAGGGTTACAGTTGGGTCACTTACAAAGGACGTACAGTTGATTTTCTTCTTTCCCAAGTAAAATCTCGGCCAATGTCTACCGGCAGTAAAGTGTTTCGAATTTTGTCTAATTTTCTTTTCTTTTTTTTTCAGAACCATTACAACGATTTGAGCTTGTTGAATGCGAGCAAACGACAAGGAAAAGGTGTTTTTATATATTACGAGCCGTCAAAGGCCATTTTAAATTCCGTTAGCACGAGTATGTATCGAATATCGAGTTACTCGAACGAGTACGTTCTTTTACTTTCTTTATCTGTTTTTAGAAAGGCTATTCCTGGGAGAAGCACACTATCTGCAAACTTTAATATTCCAAGATTACATAAACAAAACTCGCAGACACTTGGATCATAGCCTGCGCTGCACTTACGTTATAATGCCTGGAAACATCTTGGTGACAAATCGTGCATTTGGATTTCCTCTGAATGGTTCCATCATTGAGAACCATATTAATAAAATGTAAACTCCGCCTACAACTATCAAGAGAGGAGTCTGGTCCAGCTAATGTATTTTTCTAATGCATATAATTTTCAGATATAAGTAATTTTTGTTATTGAAACTTTTTTTTACGTATAAAGGAACTTTCAAAGAAGAAAATTTGACAGTGTAGATTTAATTTGAATGTATTCGTATACAGGGTGTTAAACAAAAAGCATTCAATATTTATATGGTGTATAGGGCACACTGTACTGAGTAAAAAAGCTGTAGCAAACATTTAGTGTCATGATTGACTTACTTGCTTCCATCGCATGCGATGTTTATGTCAGCGTTTATAAATTGCGTTCTGAATGTTTCCATTCAAGTGCCGATAATTTCGTCAATTTCATTTCTTCACTTTCGTGTACAGAAGTGAGCTCTGTATCACTCAAATGAGTTCTCTATCTTCTCAATCATGATACTAGCAAACAAAAATGTTTATATCTCAGAAACGGTTGACCTTTGGACCTATGTTTACTAAAGCTTCTTTACTCGGTCCAGTGTGCCCTATCCACCATATAAATATTGAATGCTTCTTTTTGAACACCCTGTATAGATATAGTAGTCGCAAGGAAAGGATTCGGTCAAAACGGTGGGACGCATAGCTCATCAAATTTTTATCCGATTCACTTGATTCAACGCTTAAATTGAAGGTAATTAAGTTTATATGCTTATGAACCTCGACTCTTAATGAATTATTATTATAGCATAAAGTTATTGCAAAATAACGGCCGACATGTATCGTTCACTTTCATGTTTTTTGCCGCCATTTTTGCAATTAACAATTTTTTTTTGCAAATTGAGGTTCATACGCATTTTACGTACCTACTAATGAAAAACATTTTCTGATTTTACCTATTAGATGTTTTCCCGGTGCTTCACGTATCCCACCGTTTTGACCGAATCCATTCGTTGCGGCTACTACATCTATCTATGTATACATTCAAATTAAATCTACACTGTCAAATTTTCTTCCTTGAACGTGCCTTTATATGTAAAAGAAGTTTCAATAACAAAAATTAATTATATCCGGAAATTATATGCACTAGAAAAATACATTAGCTGGACCAAACTCCCCCCTTAATCGAAGGGATAGTTATTGTAGAAATTTGAATAACCCGTGTATAAAATTAACGAATACCGTCGTATAATACGTTCCTTTCCTAATTTCAGGTTGCTTAGATTAGTAGAGACAGGTATTATACAACACAGACAAGAAGAGGACCTACCGTTAGCAGAAATTTGTCCGGTTGACCTCCGTTCGACCGAAAGACAACTGCGGAACACCGATCTCCTTTTAACGTACAAAGTCGTCGTCGCAGGATACGCGATCGCCTCGATTATTTTTCTGTTTGAAATCATTTTCGCGTTTATATGGAGCCGTATAAAATACAGCAAGCAACGAGACACGCGCAACTCTCTTGCTCTGAGAGTAAAATCGGATCATTCGAAGAAAAATAGTTTGCGTCAAAAGCGGATAACATTCTTAAAGGGTAATACGCCGGACATTTATCAACCCCCAGAAAACATCTTGATGCAAAGAAAGCAAGAATTAATTAACGGAAGAAATTACTATGTAGTCACTGACAGCGCCGGCGATCGAAGATTAATTCCTATAAGGACCCCTTCGGCTATTCTCTTCCAATATGCGAGTTAATTGAACGCAATATTCATATTGATGACAAAAATCTGCTGTTTATAATAATGTTTAATGAAATCTTATATTATCTTCGCCATATGTTAATAAAGAAATAAGGAAAAATGTAATATTCACCTACCTTTCTCTTCGTGTCACCGAGCCGGAAGTCAGCGCCTCTATCGGGAAAACGATCAAGTTTGTCATAAAATAGTTCCTCTTTCTACTGGTAAAACCAAGTCTAAATACCGACATAGGATATTATGGTCTCATTACCCTATTTTGGTATTTGTGGAGTTACACACATTTATCGATTTTTACATGTATAGTTCTTCACACATGTATCACACTTCACACATGTTTCACACTTCAGACATGTTTCATAATTCACATTGATAATTGTTTATAATTGGCTATTGCGTTTGAACGTAGCGGATTTTAATTACGTTTTCTTTTGTCGCGTAATTCATTTTTCCGTTAGTTGCAATTATTTTTAACATTCTACAGTTCAAACGTGTTTCCAACCAGCTCCTTGAATTCAAATTGTTAATCTTATTTTATTGTTCTTGTTTAAATAAATTATCTTGTTGTTAAAGTTCGGTTTTAGTTCATGTTCGGAATTCTTTTATGTAGAATCCCTACATATATAGACCTAGTGGCGCCATCGGTGAGAAAACCCCTAAGCTTGTAGCGAAAATAGTTGCCACTCTTGCTGATAATTGGCGCCACCGATACATTTTAATAAATTATTCTTTACTTTTTATAAATGCATAATTACTACGATTCTTTGTTTTATAGCACTACAATATATTAGTTAATACGTCAAATTGATTGTTTTAGTAAACAATTATTTGGTTAGTAATGATTATCGACCCTTTAGTTTGAGGCGCCATCTAGTAGCAAGAGTGGAATCTATTTTCGTTACAAACTTGGGCGTTTTGCCACCGATGGCGCTACTGATATTAAAACCCGCTCTCTGAGCCGCTCAGTGAGCGATGGTCTTTCTAGATGCGCCCAAAGTGTAGAAACCTGTTAACTTATTTTTCATAGATACAAATATTTTGTAACTTTGATTGTATACATCCATAAAAAACACCTCATCGTATTACATGCGGTCATTTAAAGAATTCTTAAAAAAAGAGTAACATTTGAATATTCATTGTACCAGTATAATTACGCGAACGTTATTTCCTACGTCAAATGTATCATCTATGAATAGTTATAATCAATAAACAACAAGTATTGTAATAGACCCATTAGTTATAACTAATATTACTATAGTAACGCTTCAATTTTAATTTTAAGGATATATTAAATATTAGCTACACAAAACTATCGCCCTCGTAACCTTAAGGTTACTAATTAGTAAGTAGTACTTACATTCTATTCTGAAACAGTATTTTCATTCAACATTATAAATATTAGCCAACAGGACATTATACATTAGTAATTTTTCAGTTATCTCTTTAATTTTACAGCATGTAATCTATGATAATGAGTTAATTGATAAAAAAATATTAGTAAATAAGGAAAAGAAAAAGACAGGATTAAAGTATAGCAATGTTCAATATAGATATAAGATAATTTTACAATAGTTTACAAATGTATATTTATATAGTGTTCTTTTTTGGAGAGATTATATATAACTATAACACTAACTAGTTATAATTATAACTCTTTGCCTTAATTAAGACAAAGATTGTTAATTCGATGTATCTTGACAGTGCAAATTGGAGCTTACCATGCACTTTAATATTGAATTGAACTGAATTTATTTAAAAGATCATAGGCTCTAAGTCGAGCCCATAGACCGAGTACATTTTAAGGATACAAACATATGTTTATATTGTTAAGCTATCACGTGAACTTAGCTTCATGGCATGTAGCGCCACGACGCGGAATAGCTTAAACACTACCGCATGTAGTATATATTTATATTCAAATTAGGAGCGGAATTCAAATGGATTAACGCATTGAATCAACGAACCGCCACGTACATTGTTAAAACATTCAACGTGGGTAATCAAGCGTGGGAAAGTCGAAAGGTCAAGAGAGAAAAGGGAACGTTCGCTGAAAATACTTAATGGATTCATTATAGGCCCTGTCGAATCGCCGTTTCCGTTGGAATGCATTTCTTTAGAATTCGAGTCGAGTTAGCTTTTGTTCCAGCTCGTAATATCCTTGAAAATAATAGACTCGCGCTGTACCTCGGTTCGCGTTTCCGGCGACTTCTTCAAGAGGGTAATAAATTTCCTTAAGGGTTGCTGTGTCTCGCTGGCGCGTTTTCTCTCTCTAGAGCTCCGCGCTTTCCCTTTTCACATGTAGCCTTGCACAAACATGGCCGCGCGACTCCCACCTCCACCCGACTCAGGGGTGGATACGAGATCGATGAAGATCACCGATAGAAGGATTAGGGCGCAACCCCCGGTTGGACCAGGACAACCCCAAGGGAGGATCGAGAATCTTCCGAAGAAACAGCAGATCGAGCAAGGATTTTTCCGGAGAGTTCAATCGTAATCGAACCTCTGTTAACGAACTACGAAACGATTTAAAACCAAACGAGTCGATGGAATAAACGTCTTTGCTTTTTCCTAAAAGTATTTCGAATTTTTTATTTCACGCGCTTCTCCGGGCAGAGCGGTTCAGCGCTCCACGGGCACCTTATACACGTCAGAAAATTCCCTATCACCGCACGACGCGTTCCACAACAATATATATGACATGTATATATTTACATATGCTTACGTGAATATCAGGTTGAATTACTAACAATAATATGCATGATACACGTGCAAGTTCTAAATATGCACTTTAATAAAAAACTGCACTGAACTGAACTAGTTAGTAACGCCATTTAGCGTAAACAGTGCCAACTATTTTTTACTACAAACTTGGTCGTTTTGCCAACGATGGCGCCACCGGTGTTAAAACCCGCTCACTGAGCGGCTCACCGAGCGGTGGCCTTTCCGGATGCACCCAGTGTGTCACGTTCAATTTGGAGGGCGCATCCTCTGACAGTGGTTCTCAATGATAGGTTGAGATGTTAGCTGCATTAATGGTGGACAGAAAAACGACAGTAGCCCGTGCACTGGAATGACAACAAGTGATTGATATTATTGACGACGGTAGAATGTGAGGTGCGAGAGGAAAGATATTTCGGCGCGAACGGGAGCGCACTTTGTTGGTAAGTAGCCCGACAAAGCATCCCGTTCGTGGAAGTGATCGTGCATTCGGGGCTTTCATTCAAGGTGTAGGAAAAATTCGCTACGAATTGCCGTCGGTGAGTGCAGGTTATGTGAGCTACGAAACGCGTCGTCATTAGCCGTTTCCCTCGAATGCTGGCCAGGATGGGCCAGGGTACGGACACCTGCACGGACAGGCCTACCGAAGTCAGCGTCATTAGATTTGTATCGAGGAACCGCACCATCGAGGAAATCGCCCCAAAAAAGGTAAAATCGCCGGAGCCATTTAACGGGTTCAATGACCCCTAACTCAAAACAAATCATACGGCGTTTCTCCACCTTCACCGACCTATCGCACTTCCTTTCTTTAATTATGCCGCTGAATAGCGGATTTTTGAAAATGATCGACTATATTTTTCAGGAAATATATACTTGCAAACAACGAGGTTGCGGTAAAGTATTCACTAATCAAGATGAATACAAAACACACGAGGCTCTTGAAGCCTTAAAAATTAGGTTTATGTAAGTTAATTTCTCGTTTTAGATTACAAGTGTCAAAGACAATTGTTAATTTTGAAGAGCAAAGATCGGAATACGGATCGACTTTAATCGTATAATTATATTCGCGAATACGATGTTTTCATTGATGCGATTCCTATATTTATTTATTTATTTATTTATCTATTTATCTAGCTGTCGGGAACCGGGATGCGGAGAGGAATTGTCCGATCCTGGAAGTATGTGGCGTCATTATCAAGAGTGGCATAATAACGAAACAAATGTATTTATATGTCCGTACACAAACTGTGGATCTTTACATTCAACCAGTAGTAATCTAGAAGAACATATCGAAAGCTGCCACAGACAACCGCCAACACTGCCAACTGAACCAGAAGTAATATGTTTTGAAGACCTTGAAAATGCAATGGACGAAGAAGTCGTACAGAGCACAGAAGATTGCTATGAAAAGAGAACGAGCGAAACATTTGCAATTAAGGGACATCAGTACGACGATAGTAACGAGCAAAGTATTCGTAGAAGCGACATTATACAACAACAAGAAAAGGAGGTCCCTCACGATCGGAATATTCCAAACGATAACTCGAACAAGGAAGACTATTCTTCTACTGGCGAATCCTTGAAAGAATCCGATGGATATCCTATAACTGAAAATCTAATTTTAAATACAGAAAATTTTCTATCCAAGTACGAAGGCAATATGAACAAATGTTCAGAACTACAAGTAGAACATTCCCAAGAAAAAAGTAACGTAGTTTACGTGAATGGTGATATTACCATTACAAAGAATTCAAAGAACGAGGTGTGTAATATAAATTCCAGGAATCAAGACCACAGAATAGAATTGGATAATCTCGAAAGAATCTTCAGAAGCGACCACGATCGCGATTCTTCGAAAAATGAAGAAAATACCTTGGAAACGAATAGTAACTGTTCAGACGACGAAGAGTATACTCCAAAGAAACAACGTATGTCCAGATACAAACAAGAAATCTACAAGTGTGCCACCAACGGCTGTGGGAGAAAATATAAATACATATCCCATTATCGTCATCACCAGGACAGTCATAAATTAGTAGCTAATACAATTAATTCAAATTCTAGCAAACCGATAGTCAAACTAAAACAAGGGAAAGCTTCGACTGTCAGTTTTTTCTTGTAAGTACGAATATTTCTAGTATACTCGTGTTCTAGATCGATTATTTTTTGTTAACTTATCGTCTATTAAATAGATGCAAGATTCCTGGCTGTGGAGCACAAGTGAGTAATGTGACTGGTCTATGGAAACATTACCAGGACAATCATGCTAATTCAAAACTGCCAGTAGTACAAGGAACTAAAAATAACGAAGTATTTCGGTAAGTCTTATGACTGTACATTCAATTCTTACGTTTCATAATTAATACTAAAAAGAAAATAACTGCTATTCTTCCTTATATCATTGATGTGCTAAACTTTTCAGTAACGTTTCTGAATTTGTTACTGTACAACCGTTTTGACACAGCTTTAATAAAAAACATGTTTTAGATGCAAAATTCCAGGATGTGAAACAGAGTTCAGTACAACGGTAATGTTATATAAACACTTCAGTGAAGTGCACTCAAATGGTACTGGCAATAATGCTAGCACAAATACAAAGACTGGAAATGGGAGTAGTTTTCATTATACTGAAATGTTCAAAGATGATGCTACCAGCCCGCAAGTAAACTTTAAGACTGACTTTAAGGCAAAGCATAATATTAATGTAAATGATTGTACGAAAAATACTGATGAACAAAGATTATCGTCAGTCGTTAAAAAGGAAATTCGAGATTGATTCGAGATGAACTAGTGTCTTTAACCGCGATGATAAATAATTGTAGCAGTATAAAGCAGAGTATTTCGCCAGGGTCGTATGTATTCGACTTACAAAACGAATTGTTTTCCTTCCTCTTAATCAACTCGTCTATTCCTTTTTAGTCTTTATCTCGTTGACTAGTCACTCTTTGTTACGTTTTCATTACGATTTTGAATACAATGGCCCTTGTTAGATACTCACATTTTTATGATTCTAACTCTGAATAAAATAGGAAATGCGAACTAAAGAGATCAAACTCAAGGACTGTCTGAATTTTGTTTCCACGAGTTCGAATTATCAAACAAATGATACTATTATATATAGTAAAAGCTTTCTAACTTAATTCACAGAGAATATTTGAACAGTATTCGATTTCTTTTTGTATTTTAAATAACAACAAAAAAAGTATTCAATTTTTAAAAAAGGAATTTACATGCATTTCGTTCTTAAAAGTACAAGAGTTTAAAGGTAACTCTGAACTACCTTAAAAATATGAAATGCAATTCAGACAGTCTCAAGAAGTAAAGTCTTGTACGTACACTCGATGAATGCAAGCATAAATGCAAATACAATTACAATTTCGTAGATTGACAGGCCTGGTTTGGCAAACTTAAAAATAAAGTGCAAAAAAAAAATGAAAGGACTTGCTGCAATAATTTGCGCGCATGTTATATAAAACTCTTAACTTTCCATACTGATTTTTACTATTTTATATTATTGTATCATTTTGATGTAATTTATATTACACATGTCATTGTAGTTATTATACTAGATATTGTAGAATTGTAAGTATTACACAGCATTTTCATTTGTATGTCTGTACGTTGAGAAATAAAGTGCAATAGCGAGATAAAGATATGAGTAAATTTTTAGCTTGTACCTAAAATGATCCATCCAATAAAAAATTAAAATAGTCTTAAGATGCATCGTTCGATCCACTTATTGTTAGTTAAATTCGAACGAAGATGTCTTTCACATAATCGTGATCAATCGCACCGGAGATGTTTCTCATATTTTATCTTGTGATTTCAATTAATTTGTGCATCGCGCAAAAACAAAATTTTCTCTTGATAATCATTGACGATTTGAGAACATCTTTGGGGTGTTACGGCGATGCAAAAGCTTACACACCGAATATAGACCGATTAGCTCGGGAGTCTGCCATTTTTTCCCAAACATTTGTTCAGGTTAGAGGTTAAACAAAGTGGAACACACTTGTATCGGAAAATTAGCAATCAGAATATTAAATGGAATATTAAAATATTATAGACATCTTACAGATGAATACGTAAAATATATTTTAGAAGAAAGTAGTACAAAAATACTTGAATAATAAATTGTTTCAGCAAGCTTTATGTGCACCAAGTAGAAATTCATTTCTAACAAGTAGAAGGCCAGATACGCTCAAACTTTACGACTTTTATAGTTACTGGCGAAGAGATGTTGGCAATTTTACAACATTGCCGCAACATTTAAAAAATAACGGATACATTACTAAATCTATAGGAAAAGTTTTTCATCCAGGTCTCTAGTCCTTACCATCCGTTATAATTATAATTATTCTACATTCTCGTTAATTTTTCACAGGAATTAGTTCGAACTATTCCGACGATAGCCCTTACTCGTGGACAGAAATACCTTTTCATCCGTATACAGAAAGATATAAAGATGCTCCAGTTTGTCAACCAAATTTGCGATTACTACCTGCACAAAATCTTGTAACACTTGACAATTATTTTAACAGACTAATATAATAAAATAGCAAACATATGAAACGACTTGAAATCTACTTTTAGATATGTCCAGTTCAAATTTCATCAATGCCAAATAAAACATTGCCAGACATAGAAATACTCAAAGAAGCTAAACGTTTTATACAAGACCAAGCAAGGAGCTCTAAACCTTTTTTTTTAGCAGTTGGGTTTCAAAAACCACACATACCTTTTAAATACCCTAAAAAATATCTAAGTAAATTTTATTGTAATTACCATTTATGACAATTACAATAATGGAATATAAATACTTGAAAGTCACACTTATAGAAAGAATTTTACAGAATATCATCCGCTACATAAATTTGAGGTACCCACTCCGTATAAATGGCCAAAGGACATTAGTAGCATTGCTTATAATCCATGGATAGATTTGAGAAAAAGAAAAGACATAGAAGCTTTGAATCTTAAATTTCCATGGGAAAAAATACCAAGTACTGTCGAAATTTATCCAGAAGTTAAAAGCATTACACCTCTATCTCTTTGCAATTTTTAGGATCTTTTGGCAAATTAATTATACAATCCTATTATGCAACCGTAACTTATATCGACAAACTAATTGGTAAACTAATAAATCAATTGGAAATTTTATCTATTCGACAAAATACTACTATAATATTAACGTCTGATCATGGTAAGTCAAGCGTTCTTGAATAAGACTTGAAAATAACGGTATACTCTCAAAGTATCAATTAATATTTATTTTACTACTAATCAAAATCTACCAAATTAATACTCGAACAGGATGGTCATTAGGAGAACATGCGGTATGGGCAAAATATAGTAATTTCGACGTTGCGCTAAGAGTACCTCTAATAATATCGATTCCAGGACTTACATTAAATACAAAACATCTAAGAAAAAACAATTCTCTGGAAGAACATTTCCTGTATTCCAAGAGAAAACTGAAAAATATGCAAAGTAAATATGGTATCTTTGATGCACTCGGAAAGCAAATAATTATAGATTCGGTCGTGGAATTAGTCGATCTATTTCCAACCATCGCAGATTTAGCAAACATTTCGATACCTATTTGTTCGAATGAGAAGAATTTTCCTCGTACAGAAACAATTTGTAGCGAAGGAATTTCTCTTGTGCCACTTGTAAGAGCTGCTTTAAACGAAGAGGTAACGGTAATTAAGACTCATTGTTTAGTGACCTTAATCTTTCGTAGTGACATGTATTTAAGTAATTAGATACCATGTTATAAACAGTGTATTAAAAATTTGAATTTTCGATATTTATATTTATCAACTTACAGACCCTAACATGGAAAAAAGCGGCCTTTGGACAGTATCCAAGACCAAGTGTCGAACCTTCGATAAATCCAAACAGCGATGAACCACGTTTGAAACAGATTAAAGCTATGGGATATACTCTCAGGTCAAATAGATATCGTTATACTGCTTGGCTACCGTTTAAACCTGAAACGAAAGCACCAGATTGGAATAACGTTATAGCAGAGGAATTGTACGATCACGAAAAATATGAGTCTGAAATTCGAAATGTCGCAAATTCGCTAAAATACGAACATATAAAAAAAGAATTAAAAATTTTGCTGCAACGTGGCTGGAGAAGCGCTTTACCTGAAATGTTCAAGTATTAAATTATTTTTCGATTTCTTTGTTACATTACTAACATTAATCTATATTAGTATAAAAATCTCTTCTAACCGTTGTAGTAATATATCAAATATTTGCACACTCATAATTACGTACTTTTATATATAATTTTTTTTAACTTAGATATACTTAATAAAAACACAAGGTTTTAGTAATAATACTATATTACAATAATACTGATACTATTCGATATACGTTAAAAATTATTACTATCCTTAGCGATGGTAAAGCTTGTGTAATACATATAATGTCTATGTAAATGAAAAACTCCATTAATAAAAAAACTCATGATCTAGCAACAAAAACTAAATTTTCAATATACATAGAACAATACAACATGACCATTGCGATTATCTAGTTTACTAACATTTATTTTGTTCACGCTGTTCACTCTTCTTGGGTCTTATTTGTCTTACTAACTGCAGTTGAAGTGATCTGAAATTATAGAGTAATTTTTTTAATTGTCACAAATGCAGATAGTTTTTACATACTTTGATCCCTTCTATTCTGTAAATTCTTTCTAAATAGATTTATCCAGAATTTCGTTCGTAGTATCTATATTAAAGATAAGCACGACCAAGTATCGAAATTCGAATAAAAGAATATCAACGCATGAATGTTACCTCTACAACGTCGTCGTCACCATTCCTAGATTTAGGGCCATTACTTTGATTAGTAATCGGAAGCTCATCCCTTGTTTGACCATTGATATTTATTGTATTAAGATTCTGTAAAAGTGGCATTCTACTCAAATTCGGCACTTGTGTTCTCAACTGTGTTGGCATTACTCCTGCGTTCTGTAATTTATGATACTTCAATTAAATATCAATCGAAAGATAATTTAATACTTTTAAATACCTGATAAGTCATTTGATTTGAAGAAGTATTCTGGAAAGTCTGTCGTTCCCAATAATTGTACATGTCCGTTAACGCCTTCGCTGTCATCATTTGTTGAAACTCTGGTGTTGCATTGGGATACTGTAGTGTAAATTACAATGAGATCATACCACATAAAAACGGACAATTTTCGAGAGTAATAAACAATAATAGTATACTTACGTCTTTGCGAATGAGTTCTCTAAACTTTTCGTAATCTGTACCAAGATGTCCCGATGCTGGCAAGCCATAATGATTTAAAAATGCGCTATTTGAAATAGGTGCCACCATTGGATACATTTGCATCGGTTTTCCTTTCTTCTCTTCCTCGTATTCTAACCAAGCTTGCTTTCTCTCTTCTTCGTCTAATTCTTCTTCAGTCTATGTAAAATTAATTTACTTTAGCAAACAAAGTTTTATCGACATTTTATCGATGAAAATATGCCAAGACCTTGTTTTCCAGAAGAGAATCATGTTCATGGTAATTCTCCACGAAATTTTTATATTTCAAAAATATTTCTGCTAGTACTCTGTCTTTCGGTAAATTTAAAGTTGGTTTTTCGCCAGACGTATTCGGTTCGAACTTATACAACTCGCTTAAATCGTTATTGCTATAATGACGTTCTATTTGTTGTTCGTCAACAACTCTGCAGGAAAGCGACAACTTTGTCACTTGTCGATTATATATTTTTTCTTCCATTGTTCCAGC